ACGAAATCCTCAAAGAGCTACTATACACAGACAAATGTATTTTTACCACTGACACAGACAAACCCCCAAAATGGGAACAACAACAAAAAAATTATCCCCATACAAAGTGTGTACAAGTGTGGACCAAGTGTGGACCAAGTGTGTACAAAGTATGTACAAACTACAAAGTGTAAAACCGTCTCATATGGTTGTAAAGTCATGTGAATTCTTTTCATAATAGGATTGTCTGCATCGTTCGTTGAAATTAGGAAAAAAATGTCTAGAACAGGGTCAAATAGTTTTAAAATAACAGATGTGGAAGTCGAACAGTGTCATAAGTGCCTAATCCTTCCTGTACCGGTATTCTACATACCATGGCCAAAGGAGGGTCATCTTTTTCTCATACAGAATACCCAAATTCACTGTACAGCTATATGAAGTTGTATAGCTATACTCTGACTAGATTTTTCTCGTCTTAATGGTGTATTTAAGAAATATCATCTAGCGAAACGAATGTTTGAGCATCATTTCTAATGATAACTTGATAAAGATGAAAGATCCCCCCCCCCCCCCACTCCGGGAACGGAGGGACCGCATTCATGTTCCCAAAATGTCCGGTAAAGAGGTACTTTTCAAGCAGCAAAGTCTGGCTCGTAACATACAAAAATTTTGGTCCCTATTGACTTTACACACCGGATTTAGGGGGTGTTTTCAAAAGGAGGGAACAAGCATATGCGTACCACAAATAACACTGAGTGGGGGGGGGGGGCGTGAAAAGATTAGTCCCTGTTCTAGTCTGAACATCGTATCATACAAAAATGGGCTGGACTTATCATGAACACCATGGCCCCGTTTCACAAATCCTTTTTTCAATGATAAATGACAAAAATCAGTGAATAATCAAAAGCAAGGATTTCACTAGCTTATAACAAATAGCGTCATTTGTCACTGATGACAAGTTTTGTGAAATGGGGCCCTGATGATTGGCCAGCTCATACAGTGTATATGTCAACTAACCTCTTCAAAACTAATTTCTTTTTAAAATGGTTTGATGGTTTCTTTTACCCGACTGCTAAAGAGAGCATGTGTATGCTTGTAACTAAGCAACCAGGGGACTGGTGGCAATCAGTCCTCTCTGAGGGACTTGGTAATGAGGATTGATGCCTTATCAAAGGGCACTAGCACATCGACTTGGTTTTGAACACGGGACCTCTGGGTTACGAGACCACTGCTCTACCAATGCTGTACCAATGCGCTACCATTGAGTCATCACGTCTCCTTTATACAATGTTGTTTTCTAGTCTGTTCGCCCCATTCCATTTTTCTTAAATTCTTTCAACTATCTTTCTTTGAACCGGTTCTGTATAAATTCCCTTTATTCTGAACAGGCCATCATTGTGTGAAAACAGTTACAGGAAGTGAGAAAGTTTGTTGGTAAGGATGTCTTTCATACCCAATAAGTACTCAATGGGAAATCAAATCAAAGCACTTCAAAGTTCAAAGACCATTTCCCAGCAATCAGAAAGCCACAATGTCTTTCAGGGTATATTAAGGTATAGAAGGACCAAAACAGTTTTCCCATGTTCTTCGTACATCCTGCAAAGGGAAGGGGGTTTTCCCTCATTTAAATACTACACAGACTCTCATTTGACACCGGTAAGGTCTGGGGCCAGGCCTACGTCTCGTTACCAGTCTCTCGCCGTGTCAAGTACAGACACTACGGTGCGCAGTAGACTGTGCAGTCTGTATAGTCTCACAGTTTAGGCACTCTGATATGCAGACGTCTAGCCAAAGGACAATATTGCTGGGCCTCAGGCTTGAACCCCCGACATTGCCATCTACATCTCATCCCTTACCATGCAAGCTCACATGGCAGTGAGACGGTACTTGTATATTACATCCATCTAATCTTATGATTTGTATTTTGTAGTTTCACTATTTTACAAGTGATATTGGCAGCTGAAGAGAAAATGAAACTAAGGATTCTACCAAGAAAGTAAAAGTCATTTCCTACATATATTTATATATTTACACCACTACACACAGGTTCATGACTTCATGTGCATATGACACTGGGAAATACCCAACAGAAATACCCAAGTTACTAAACTATCAATTACTTGGGGTCACAGGAAATCAGAACGCTGAAATGAATAAAGAAGTGAAATCACATTAATTACTTTCATAGTGGATTACAGTAGTGAAGTTGCTTTGAGCCTCTGTATTTATGAAACATAAATTGGGGGAAATTGATTTTTCACATACTTAAAACAAAAAAAAACTCAGTAAAAATGTTTTTGTTAACTGTATACACTGGAATTGCAGAGAAGAGAGATATGTGGTGAATTGATGTGTTTCAATCAACTTCAGAACTAGTATCCAAGTATCAGGACAATTACCCCCTGGAAAATGACCCCCCCCCCCCCCCCCACCCCACACCCGAGGACAATTACCCCCAGGAAAAATACCCAGCAGGTTACACTGCATTTAGTATTTGAACTTGTACTAAAAATGACCTGTTTATAAAGACCACCTGCCTGCAATCATGTATAGACCTCTTTTATTTCCTTTAAGCGGTCATGTAGGGGCCTACAGGTTAAAGTGTGTACATGGCAGATATCGTCCCTATTTTCACGAAGTGACGGTAGTGAATAAAAATCGCATTCACTTTGCATTACGATTTTCCTCACTACCGTCACTTCGTGAAAATAGGGACGATATGTACTAGGTAATGGTCAAGTGGACTCCAGATGTAATAGACCCATGGCTGGTCCGAGGCATAGTCCATTTAGCAAACACTTATCACATCCATTATGACACCACCAATCTAAAGCAAACAAACGAACAGCCTCCATTTGAGACACCCGTAATCCAGGGCATCGTTTCATGAAATGGTCGTAAGTACAAGATCACCCATTGAAATGCAAGTTACGCAGGTTTCAATGGGATGTTGGTGAACTTGTACTTCTGACTGTTTCGTGAAACATGCCCCAGGCCTCTACACTTAAAATGTACATGTAAGCCGATTTAGTGTGCGTTCAAGCGACACTTTTTCACCCTAGAAACATGTTTTTTCCAAGACATTTTATAGTTTAAACGGTTGCGTTCAAGCGATTTCAAGCGATTTTGTTTGTCGTGTTTTGTATTGTGATTCTGCAGAATAAAGGTCACTAAAAATCGCTTGAACGCAAAGGAGATCTCAATCATGATTCTATAACGTCATTATTTTGGCCTGCTTCCGGTTTGGTTTTAGATTCAAACAAGTATTATGTCGATGTGGCCAAGCAAGAACTGCATCATGATTTTGAATTCAAATGCAGAGTCTGAATAGTCAGACTAGAAAGGTTACAGTGTCTGCATTTCTCTAATATTGAGTGAGTTCAGAGTTCAAGTGGTTTGGCCATTGACAAGATAACACAGTCAACCTTCTAAAATTGACTCAAAAATTAAACAGAAACAGCATGTACTGAAAACACACCGATTCTTAGCCTAATATTATCTTTCCACATACGATATTTAACCCCGTTGTTTGTTTCTCTCTCTCCTTCTCTCTCTCCTTCTCTCTCTCTCTCTCTCTCTCTCTTTCTCTCTCTCTCTAACTCTCTCTCTTCTATATTCCTACCTGAACCAATCTTGTTGTCTATTTCTTTATTCTGTCTATCTCTTTCAATGCTTTCAACTCTTTTGTCTTCCTTTCTCTTCTCTACCACTCAGCTCCTCGTCCCCTTCCTTTCTCCTCCAACACATCACCTCGAATCTCTCCAAAATACTGCATTTTCTATTTCAAAATACCAATTCATGTTACGTAATAATCATTTAAAGAGAAGGTTGAGCTCTGGGAAGAGGTGAAAAATAATTTGTGAGTGTTATCATTGTTATTACATGTATGCAAGTGTGGAAGAACATCAGATAAAACATGTTCCCTGAAAAGCATGGCCCTTCAAATGCCTTCATATTCTAAATACATGTATGTCATGTAACATCGTAAAACTCGGGGGTAGGACTTTTACGCCACGTGTTCGTGTAGTCCCATTTACATCTTTCTGTGTACAGTGTTTGTAACTTTACCAAGACTTGGCCAAATTTCTTATCATTTTGATGATTTCAGAACCTTGCAATACACACAAATTCTTATATGCTAGATGATCAACATTTTCTGGTCGATTCCACACCGTTTCTTTCACAATGCAATCGCATGACCAGAACTCAACTTCATCTTTAATGAAGGCATGGATGTACAACATGGAAGTGTACAAACAGTTTAAAACAGGAAAGAAAACTTTTGACTCATGGTTAAACAGTGTCGTTGATGCAAAAAAAAAAAATGGTTTTAATAATGCCGTCTCAGTAGGCCCGTCTTCTTCAAACCAAAGTTGCAAAAAAACCTCCTATTTTCAGACTCGGATATTTTCTTGAAGCCTGAAATTGGTAGTCACCAGACCGATACGCGTATCACAAATTAACTGTGACGGGCGCAATTTAGCCCACTATTTGGGAAAGAAGAAACAGCTACTTGCAACTGCGGGCTGATGAAGATGCAAATTAGCTGGCTAATTTAAAATCGGGCTGGTTAAAATAGCAGGTTATTTTGTAACTTCGGTCTGATGAGGGCAGGCCTAGTGTTACATGTAGATTTACATATATGTACATGTATGCTATATTTAGACAGAAGATCAGTATCTGGATTTCTCATTACTGCACGATTTCTGCATATTTATTGGGATTTGCCACTATCACAAAAAGTATACAGTAATACCAGTAATCCAGTGTTTGTGCTGTAGTTGCCACAAAATACTAATAAAACTCTGATTTGCATAACCATAAAATACTGGGTGTTGCTTTGAAAGTTCAAACAGTCATCATGTCGGAAGATTTTGCACACAAAAAAGGAACGGTAATATTCATACAGAACTAAGGAAAAGAGTTTATGTTACTTGTACCACTCACCTAGAAAAACAATTTATATACATGTACAGGTAGAATGGATAAAATGAAGGACTCAATTTGAAATGTAAACTTACCAAAAGAAAACTCTGAGCAGTAGTTCTGAATCCAGTCTGCCTGGACCTATGAAAAGAGAAGAAAAAAATATTTTAAATTAGTCAATAGATTTGAATCATTTGATTTGATTTGATTTATTTATTTCTGTTTGATTTTTGTTTTCTTTTGCATTTTTACAAATATATAACAAACAAACATTTCAACTGTACACATGACAAAAGAATATATGTAGAATAAAGCTGTAACTAATCGAGAAAACATCAAACAGGAGGGTTGACAAAGTAAGCAAAGCTTGATAGTATGACTACCCTTATTTATAAAACTATAAGCGCGCTTTATGAGTATTTATTATTTCAAAATGCTACTCAGTCATACTTGTGGCATTTAGAGCCTGCTCAGATTTATAAAGGAAATTTATACAAAACTTGTACAAAGAATCATCGCATTGCGAAAGGAGCATACAGACTAGAAAACACTGTACAGTGTATCAAGAAACGTTATATAAAGAAACAAATTTTGAGCAGGTCACTTAAAATGACAGCTGGCCAATCATCAGTGCGCATTCATCATAAGCCCCACCCACTTGCAATTCAAAACAAAAATTCCGCTCATTTTTCATTTATCTGCGATCAGAATTCATCATCAGAATTTTACCTGATCGGCCAGCAATCGGCTTCCGGTTACACCGTTAATTAGTTTTGTATATTTTTTAATAGTTTTATAAATTTGGAACATTGAACGGTCATATGCAGTTACAATGTGAAATTTATTAACTACTCGTAAAGTTCTCTCAATACCAGACTAGCAGACAATAACAAGTTCATCTTCTTATGTCATGACCTCTGTAAGGACACACTCCACTATTAGTCTCAATCCAGGCAAAACAAAATATTCTCCCTAAAGAACACACCTACCAGTACAGTGTACATGAACATCCATTCATGCTCTATTACTTCTAAGTGTTCTAGTCATCAAATACACTTTACATTTTTTTATTCTGTATTTAGCATTAACAGTGTCGCTGTATGTACGTAACATGTTTTTTTAGATTTTTTTTAATTTCTTGAGTCTGTGATTGAGACTAGCTAGACCTAGTCAGCTGGTTCTGGTGTTTGTGTACATGTCAGCATAGGAATGCAGCTTAGCCAGGTGTGGCCCATTTGTACTGCGTTACATATGCCAGGCTGGTATATACACAGCACTCCCAAACAAACCCCACATTGTACATGTATAAATGTGCAAGTACTGTGTGAAAATCTCAAGTTCTGTCATGAGCGGCTGGGAAAGTGCATTTCAATACATGTAATTTATTTATTCATTTATTTATTTATTTATTTATTTCTAATCTTTTGTTGGAGTAGCTCATTCACCAATAAGTAGTGGTCTTCCATGGGGCCCTGAATAATATACATATACATATGCATCTACTGAGAAAGACATATTGTTTTTTGTTTGTTTCATCAATAAATTGCATTATGACTTGTATATATATTATAGGAGCATGGACATTTCCTCCTCAATTACCCTTCAAAAACAAACAAAAAACGCTATTTTCATAGATTTAGGTCATTATTATCCTGGACAATCCAAAAGGTCAATTAGATAATCTTGTTGTGTCAACAACTTAAATCAAACTGATCTGTTCCAATGAATAACATAATCCAAATAAATTGATAGAATCCAACTTTAGCATGCAACTACTGTATTCACAGATGTTAACAATTATGTACAGTGTAGATGTACATGTAGTTCTTACTAGTGAGTTCTACATGAAGATGCCTGCAAGTATTACGAGGGAAAGTCACATTATAAACAAAATATGACAAGCTTTCCACTTATGGGTCATTCCATCGGGTTCGTCAAGAACAAAAATTGTTCCAGAAACATGCATAAAATTAACAAACAGGTCTACATGTATGTACTGTACATGTTACAAAAAAACGACCATGGTTTCCTGCATCATCTACAGTATGTGTTCACGAGCAAGCCTTAAAGCTGGAAATCTACTCTACAACCCCCTACTCGAGACAACACCCTGAATGGATATCATCAATATGCATAGGAGATACAAATCCTTCAATCCAAACAATCTAGGACGGGTTCCATGCATAGCGTGATCTCACTGCCAGACACAGAATTGTCTCTTTTTTTTATATTACGTACGGATACTCAATGAATGTATCATCTACATTGTACATGTATATGTTAATTGGATGATTGGATGATTGAATGGATAGAGGGATTAGTGGCTACATGAATGAATTAATTATTCAATTAATTAATCAAATGAATGAATGAATGAATGGATAGATAGAAACATAGATGGCTGAATGGGTGGATGGATGAATGAAGGATGAACAATGTAACGGTGCCTCATAAATTATACAAGTGGTCTAGGGCCCTGTTTCATAAAAACTAATTATCAATAACAAATGCTAGATTTCTATGACAAATTTGATCCCAGCCAATCAATTACCAAGACTTCAGTAGCTATACAGTTATTGTATCTTGTTATCGACAACTAGTTCATTGAAACAGAGCCCGGATTCAAGTTTTGACACTACCACATACATTGTCAAATCAAAACACTGTATTTTTGCAATACTTGCCGAAGATTCTTGCCACAAACATGGCTACCATTGGCGATTCATTTAAGTTTTTGGTCTAGTGGGTCACAATCCAACAAATATTATATATTTTTCTTGTACAGTACGAGATGGAGTAAAATTTTATGATTTAACTGCAAGATGGTTTGAAGGTCTGCTTGAGAACAAACGTCTGCTGGAATGGGGCAGAAACGTTGGCAGTTTACGAGAGGAGCAGATGACTGAAGTCATCAAGTCCATGTCGGTCACTATTTGCTCCAATTGAGGAAAGGGCCGATTGGGATCTAATCTCCAGATGTTTATAAGTTCATTAGCAGCGCTGTTCAGCATTAGGGTGAGATCATGCTCTCGTTGAACGCGAACCACTCTAGAGGAAATACAAGCTTCCAACAGGTCCATCAAACTTGAATCAATTTGATGAGGGGTATGAAAGGGTTATCCATGAGTACATCCGTTTAAAGTGTACAAATCATCTGAAAAAATAATTATTTGTGTATACATGTGGCTAGTAGAATGTACAAAATCAATGACAAAAAAAAGGATAAAAATACATGCGAGAACCCCTGCGCATCCTATCCTATGATGCAAGTGCTTATGGGTGCCTTAACTACTACTCAACCATACATTTTACTGTAAAGTTTTAAAGTAGAATTTTAAGCTCATATTTTGAGTAAAGTATACATGTACATAGCCACATGGAACCTCTTTACATCAAGAGCAAAACTTGGTGATTGGTACACCCTAAACCATATATGCATGAATGTGTCATTACCCTCCTGCTTTTACTGTCAGGACAAGATGAAGACCAATCCAATCAAAACCTACAGATTTTCTTAAGTACCCACTAAAACAGAAGAAAAAATATATATATCAATAAATAAAAATCAACATTTTGCCAGGAGTTGTAAAGCTTGTTTCTTCTAAATAAAGTGAAACCTGTCTCTAAAGACCACCCAGGGGAGACAAGAAGAGTGGTCTTTATAGACAGGTCATCTTGATGCATCTTTATGTTTTGCATAACAGTCTCTGCTCTATGAGACTAAAATAGTCTCTATGTTTGACACAGCCGAAAACTGCTAGATGTAGGCTCTGCTCAATGCTTTAGGAATTGTAGTTAAGTATCAAATTAGAGTCTGTGCTTGCAGACAAGATTAATACAGTGATTGGAATCATGATCGGAATGAACATTGATTTTCAGCTGTCAACCCCAATAAATTCATCAAAATGTAAACGCACTTCATTATTAAAAGGGCTGCGGCAATAAACAAAACAGTATTTGGTGCGTGACATTCATCCTGCACTCTCCATCCCACCTTAATTACCTGTAAAGACCTGTAGAAAGTCAAGGCTCTGGTAGAAACAAGGCATGTCTCCATCAGCTCGAGATTGCCAAATTTCCTGCTATTTGAACTATCCCGATCGCAAATTATCCAGTTAATTTGCGCCTTCATCAGCCCGAAGCTGCAATTAGCGGGGTATTTGGTCGAGATAATCACCCAAGATATCTTGGGCTAGTTTGCAAAATATCCCGCTATTTGTCCGGTGCGTCTTCACCAGCCTGAAGACTCGTAGGAATGCTGAGCAAAATATCTCGAGCTAATGTCTCGAGCTCGAGTTTCTAGTTCAAGTCTCAAGCTGATGAAGACGTGATTTGTAACTTCTGGGTTATTTCCCAAATCAGAAATAGCAGGCTATTTGGCGATCTTGAGCCGATGAGGACACACCTACAGATTACCGAGGACCTCAACCCACCCATCGCATTATCAAAGCAGTGTCACAGCCACTTTGAGGATAACATCCGTTGCCTGGTGGTATAATTACTCTACCAAACTAGTGCACTATTTTGTCTCACAAATTACCGCAATGTCCCTGCAGCATGGACATCAGAATAAACTGAAAAAGATCCTCTATCAAGAAAGAGCATGTTTAATAAGGCAGACACGGCTGCAATAGGCAATTTTTTGTATTTATAATGTACCAAATTGAATGTGTACATCTTTGTGAAGTGCCTCAATACAAATTATTTAATTCACACGTTAAGAATAATTGTATTTCAATGGTCAGAATGCAAAATGCATCTATATAATGTGTTGTTGGGGAGGGCAAGCCATAATGTTTGTCCTACCTAGCAACAAAAACTGCAATTCCCATTTTGTCTGTTGAGATACAATAATTGTAATACCGGTGGATGAAATAATTTGTACCAAGCCACCTTTTAAAGATGTATGAATTAAATGTTGTTACTTGTTACATTACGAAAATAGCCTATTGAAGGACGACTAGGAGTATAATTCAAACTAAGAAGTCTTGTTGCATTAAATTTAAACCCCCCCCCCCTTCCCCTCCCCCCCACACACACACACGTGTTCATTGTGTATATTATTAAACAGGCATCATACGATAATGGATTCCACAAGGCACAAGCATCTGCAAAAGGGCAGGTCCAAGCTATTTGGATTGTGAC